AAAAAAAGGAAAATAACAGGAAAAAATTTCTGACAAATCAGCAGTGTGTTTTTTTTTTTAAAAAAATGTTCATCTTATATTTCAAAGGTGTGTGTGTGTGTCTTTGTGTGGGTATGTGCACATGAGTGTAGGTGCCCTGGAGCTGGAGTCATAGACTTGGGACTGCTTGTCGGTTGTAATTTTGATAGCAGTTTGCTTAGACCTGTCCATTTCCTTTCAGCTATTCTGCTAGGCATGGTCAGTGCGGAGGCCACGCTGGTGGGATAGTGTATACTTGGAATGCACAAGAAGCATCTGGCTATGTAGCCCTAGCTAATGTGGAACTTGCTAGCATACCCAGCTGAGAATTTATTTCTTCAACACAGGGATTCTCTGTGTAGCTTTGAAGCCTGTCTTGGAACTAGCTCTCATAAACCAGGCTGGCCTCGATTTTGCTGCCTGCCTCTGCCTCCCGAGTGCTGGGATTAAAAGTGTGCACCACCACTGCCTGGTCTCCGCTGAGAATTTTAAAAGATTTATTTTTCACTTTTACCTTTGCCTGAGCGTAGACACTCACAGAGGCCAGAAGAGGTCCCTGGATCACTTGATGCTGCAGCTACAGGCAGTTGTGCGGCCCATGTGGGTGCTGGGAATCAAACTTGGGTCCTCTAGCACAGCAGGAAGGGCACCTTCTTTTGTTGTTGTTTGACTGTGTAGCCCTGGTTGTCCTGGAACTTTCTCTGTAGACCAGGCTGACCTTGAACTCTCAGAGAGTCCCCCATCTCTGCCTCCTCAGTGCTGGAATTAAAAAGGTGTGTGCCACCTGCTCCCTGCCACAGGCAGGGCTAACTGCTGAATCCAAGAGTAAGTATTTAAGATACAGACATTTTGAGAAAAGACCTAAGTTATTAACTTACTTTTGAAGGGAAGACTTTTATATTGCCCAGGCTAGCCTCAAACGCCTGCTCAAGCGATCCTTCCTTCTGCACCAGCCTCCCAAATAGTTGGAACTAGAGGTGAGAGCCTGGGCATCCTTTAAAATGATGTGTGTTCACACATATATTTAGTAAAGGCTTTTTCTTTTCTTTTTGGTTTTTGTTTGTGGGGTTTTGTGTTTGTTTGGTTGTTATTTTGGCCTGGTCTCACTGGACTTTTTTCTTTAACAAAAGTTCCTTTTAGTTTTAGTGTTCGTGTGTGCGTGTGTTGTGTATGCGTGTGTTGTGTATGCGTGTGTGTGTGTGTGTGTGTGTGTGTTGGTATATTGAAATCAAGAGTTGAGAAAATAAAATCGAAGGGTGGAAAGCTGCACTTTCACCCAAACTTGCAAAAGGGAAGAAAACAAAACAAAACAAGGTACTCAAGAGGCGTGGTTTTCAAAACACAAGTGTGGGCTGTCATCTGCGACGGGAAAAACAAGTTCTCGCGAGAGCTAACCGGTTGCTATAGTTACAGAAAACATAACCAGCTTCTGCCTCAGGTAAGACAGCACCTCCCTTTCAGATGCCTTGGGTTACTCCTCCTCCCCAGATCTTTTCTTCCTGGCCAAGGACTCTCCCTCCCAGCCCATCTGCGCCCACCATCCCGCCTCACCCTGAGTGCAGGCACAGCTCGCAGTGAGGACAAGAGCCAAACTTAAGCTTTTGTCCAAGGTCACGCTTACTCAGTGGGAGGTGGTCCTACTTCTGGGACTGTGGAGCCAGTTCAGTGAAGTGCTTGAGACGCTTGTCTGCCTAGCACCCTGAGAAAAGCCAACAAAACCCCCATCCTCATAAACAAAACAAATGTCCCCGGAATAGGAGTGGCTGGCACGGTGATTATTCCCGAATGGAGAGAATCTTCGTGGATAGGAAATGGTTAAAGTGAATGAATATCTTTGGTATCTGTCTTAGAAAGGCCAGAAGAAAAACAAATAGGAAGTCAAAGAATACGAAGGTCCCAAAGTGATAAGGCGTACTCACTGGGGAGTGGGGTGCCCAGCCTAAGCCAGACCTTCAATGGGAGATGTTGACCGCAATGCTGAGGCTGGAGCCGGAAGTAGTAACACAGCTGAAGAATATTCGTGTGTATTCCTCTGCCTTGATCTCGATTTATTCTCACATTATGATCCAAACATACTGAAGTATTTGATTTGCTTTTTGATCTTTTTGAACCTTTTGCAGTCTTTTCTTTCTGCCTGGAACAGCCTTCATATTAAATCATTCTTTTAGCTCCAGGTGGCCTCCCATGAGGAGATTGTCCTGGTATGCCCATATACACATGCCTTCAGACCCGCTTAGGTCCCAGCTTCACACGTCCCTGCTCAGTGATGGCCTGGTTAGATAACAAATGGTCGGAAACTGTTTCCTTCTCTCCTGTATGGCATATAGAAAGGCTTTAGTGCATACCAAGTCATAATGGAAAGTTAGTTTGCTCAATCCCCTACTAGGATACCAGTCACCAAGCTGATCCCTCCTGGTCTATTTATATGTCTCTCTTCCTCAGTAGACTTTAAATTCCCAAGGAAAGGGGGCTTATATCGTCTCCTAACCTCAGCAGTTACCCCTGTCCCTAACTTAATAAAGTTTGCTCAATTAATGATTTTGACAGAAATGGAATGAATTGGATAAAAAGGAATCAAAGAGACTCAAAGTCGTGTGCTAGTCTAGCACGGGGAGCACTAATTTACCAGAAGGGGCTGATACAAAAAGGCATTCCTTTTGTGTCGTACGCTTGGTAAGGAAATTTGCCAGTGCCACTGAGGCCCTGGAAGCACCTGGAAGCATTTGGGTGCAGCAGAGAAGTGGGGCTTCCTCAGCCTGAGGAAGCCTGAAGGCTGCAAAGGCTGCCCTATTTTAAATCATCCACCCCAGACAGACTTGGAGCACTCTGTCCTCACAGCTGACTTTTCCTTTTGCCTTTAAATTTATTTAATTAAATTTATTTTCAATATAAAATATATAAAATTTCAGTATAAAATATGAAATTTCATTATGAAACAATGGATTTCCTTATGACAGATCCATCTGTCTGTCATTGTACTTAGGTTCCCTCCACTGTCCCTGTAGGCCTTGACTCACCCCAAAATACTTACATGTCTCCTTCCTTTCTTCTTTTCCTTCTTTTCTTTGCCAATAAAACTTTATTGATTGTAAAAACCATTAACATACTCTTGGTAAATTGATCAGGAGAGCTATTTATGTATTTTGCTTTAATACAATACACTGGAAAGAATAATATTCTATTTTTTCCTTTTTTCTCATTTTTTTATTAGATTTTTAAAAAAGAAATACCAATCCAAATTCCCACTCCCTCCCCTCCTCCTGGTGGCTGGATGGGTTGTGGGGGAGCCTAACCACAGGAAACTCCCTGCTGGCTGGCTAGAAAAGCCAAGGGAGTTGGAGAAGGGGGCCCAGGGTTTTGTCCTGCTGGGGCGTTCCTAGCCATGTGGCTGTTGACTCACCTCATAGGTCCCCTCAGTACTGGAGCAAGCTGTGTTTCAGAGTTCCACCGAGACTGCAGGCAAATAGGTGAGCTTTCACATGTCTGCTTTCATGTCATGTGTTTGGTTACACCTAGGTTCTGTGGATGAGAGGGGATGTATGTTTGTCTTTTTCCCTTGCATTATCTTTTTTGTTGTTGCTGTTTTTGTTCTTGGTTTTTGGTTTTTTGAGACAGGATTTCTCTGTGTAACAGCTCTGGCTGTCCTGGAACTCACTTTGTACACTAGGCTGGCCTCGAACTCACAGAGATCTGCCTGCCTCTGCCTCCTTAGTGCTGGGATTAAAGGAATGTGCCACCACCACCCGGCTCAGTTAGCTTTCTCCACTCATACAATCTAAGATCCCAACCCAGGGATGGTGCCACCCACAGTAAGTCAGTCTTTATACCCCAACATGACCAAGACAATCCCCTACAGGATTACAGTCCCAGGAGATTGTACATTTGTCAAGTTGACAGTACTAATTATCACAGCTAATCTAGGCAATGTGGGATCCTGTCTCAAACAGACATTTATTTATTTGTTTGTTTTTTAAAGTGAGACAGTGTTTGGTTATGTAGCCCTGGGTGACCGGTTTTAAATTCTATAAACCAGGTTTGCTAGAACTCAAAATCTTCCAGCCTCAGCTTCCTAAGTGCTGGGGTTACAGAGTGTGTGTAGATGGAAATTTTCTCTGTCCCTCCAATCCCACTGAACCAGTCTCTTTCTGCCCACTGGGTACCTGCAGCCGCTTATGATATTAAGCTCTAAGACTTAATATCAGTTACAATTGTTTGGCCAATGGCTTAGGCTTCTTACTGATTATCTCTCTCTTATAAACTAACCTACGTCTATTAATCTATGTCACCATGTGGTTGGGGCTTACCAGTGATGCCCTGGCATCTCACTTCCCTGGGGGCTACATGGCATCTGCCCGACTCCACCTTCTCTTTCTCCCTATCTTTGTTTCAATTTCCCACCTAAGTATATTTTGCCTGGCCATTGACTGAAACAGCTTTATTCATCAACCAATGAGGAAAACACATAGTCACAACATATAGAAGGACGTCCCACATCAGGTGTGTGCCATCACACCCAAACAATTTACTTTTTTAATAACTTTTTTTTAGGATTCATTTATTTTATGTATATGGTGCTCTCTCTGCATATACACCTGCAGGCCAGAAGAGAGCATCAGACCCATTATAGATGGTTGTGAGCCACCATGTGGTTATTGGGAATTGGACTCGGGACCCCTGGAAGAGCTGCCAACATTCTTAACTGCTGAGCCATATCTCCAGCCCCAAACAATTTACTTTTGAAATTGTTTATAAAATTATTTGAAAATGGAGGCATGTGCTTTGTTGCTTTCAAGAGTCTAAGAAACAGACATAACACCCGAAGGGAACTTCTCAGACTGGAGGAAATGTGGGGAGAACACTGTCTTGTGATCATTTGTATGTCATAGGTGTATGGATTTCGGGACTTTTAGCATCAGTTAGTGGAGCCATGCTTGTGACAATCCTCAAATTATTTTCCCTCCAGCAGCAGAGGCTGCAAAGCAGGGATGACCAAGGCTCGCCTATAACGTGCCTGCAGCCCCAGAGGTCCTGGTTGTGATGCGGTGGACAAGAAAACAGATTCATTTGTTATCTTTACAGAGGCCAAAGTGGGCCAAAGAGACTTTGACTGAGTGCTGACATGGATCAGGTGTCATCAACAGGCAGAACGGTGCACATCACTGTGACAAACGCTTATGATTTGGTAAATTGATTCTTGGGAACCCACAAAGTCCCTATGTAGGAGCATGGGGGGATGAGTGACGCTCATTTTACTCCTCCCAATTATTTCATGTTGTTAGTTTATACTCAGCACATTGTCATGGTAAATGTTTCAGCTACCTGGTCTTTCGAATGCTGAACTTAGCAGAGAGAAACAAACCTGTCTTAGGGTTCCTACTGCTCTGAAGAGACACTATGACCATAAAGGAAAGGATTTAACTGCGGTGGCTTACAGTTCAGAGGTTAAGTCCATTGTCATCATGGCAAGAAGCGTGGTGGCATTCAGACAGACATGATGCTGGAGAAGAAGCCGAGGGTTCTACATCCAGTTTCTAAGGTAGCAGGAAGAGAGAGACATTGGGCCTAGCTTGAGCATCTGAAACCCCAAAGCTTGCCCCCGGTGACACACTTCCTCCAACAAGGCCACACCTCCTAATAGTGCCACTCCCTGAGCCTGTGGGGGCTCTTTTCATTCACACCAACACAAAGTCATTTCTACCCACCCTACTCTGTTTCTTCTGGGGCAGAGTTTCACTATCCCAGGCTGGCCTCAAATTCAGAGCAATCCTCCAGTCTCAACCTCCTAGACTCTGAAATTACAGCACAAGTTGCCACATCTGGCTTATAAATTTTACCCTATTCTTATGAAAAGGTTTTAAACTTTGTGAATTCTTTCAGTGATTAATTTCATTTTAGCATTTCAAATAACAGACCTGCAATAACTGCTAAAAATTAGGTAAATACTGAAATGGGAAAATATTCACTGCCCTGAAGTATACAGAAGGATTCTTTAAAATGACATAGGCAATGAGCTGTTTGTTTAATAATGTGTATGCCAAAGTGTACACATGCATACACATGCACAATGAAACATAAAATTATATTCTGAAATGTTAGTAGTTCCTGCACATTAGAATAAGGCCATAGGAAGTTTATTTCCCTGTGTATTTTTTCTCAAATTTTAAAGATATATAGCAATATATGTTTAGGTTCAGATAATACAAAAAGTGATACCTTTTTAAACTTTAATGAAAATGACTCTTACGTAGAATGTTGCATTTAGCTAGAACTGCATTTGTTTGATGATTTTCTACTTGTCCCATCTGTATTTGTGGTGTAGCTTGTTAGAGAAAAAAACAAAATGATGTTTAGTTCAGGATAAGATAGGCTACCAGATATGCAGAAAAGTCATGTATCTGAAATTGTAATGTGATGTTTCTGCCCACAGAAAGGCTTTAAAGGAGATACCCCAGTTACTTTTGTTCGTGCAGAGTTCAATCAGGCAGTCCTCGGAGACTCTTCAAAAATCACTGTCTCTCCAGAAGGAACCGCTAAGTACAATTTTACTAGCAGCATTGAGCTCAGTCCGGATGGAGGAATCACTTTAGATGACCTCGCCCACAAACCTTTATTCCGTAAGTCTCATGGTTCAAGGGTGCAGAGATTCTGAGTACTCAGCACTGTGATGGGAGGGCTGCATGGAGTGTAACGCAGTAGGCTTTGCTTTGTCTGCTTCCTGCATCTGAAACCATGACATGCTAATTTTATCAGTTTTCCATACTTTTTCTTCTAGAAGTTTCATTTGTATTCCAATAATTATGGTTGTCAGGTTTTAGGGTAAATGATTTTTTAAAAACCCACAGAACTTGATACATATTTTAAAATTGTTCATTGTTTATCTGACATTTGGGCCTCACTGGGTAGCCCGTGTTTTCTTTGCTTTTGTATATGCACCATCCTAAGTGGCTATTTTTCACTTGCTTCTGCTGCTAAAAGATGCTCTTCTTAAAATCAAGTCTGGATTTAATTTATTTCAGAATCTCCAATTCATAGAAATATCTGTAGCATAACAGACGCTTGAAGAGTCTTTGTTAAGTGAATTAGATGGATAGGGTGGATGTTTTCTGTATGTAAACATTCTTTTATCTCTGATGTAATTTGTTACACTTGTGTGCTAGCTCTTTTACTTTGTTTTGATCTGTAGTGTGTGTGCGTGTGTGTGTGTGTGTGTGTGTGTGTACATGTGTGTGTGTTCAGGTGAGTTTATGTATTTTGTTGTGTGTACATGTACATGTGCATATGTGCAGAGGCCAGAGATCAATATCAGGATATTGATCCCATATTACTGTTCACCTTGTTTGTTTGTTTGTTTGTTTGTTTGTTTTTTGAAGTAGGGTCTCTCCCTGGTTAGCCCATTAACTCCAGGAATTTACCTATCTCAAGATTTGCCCAACCCCCCACCACCCTAACCTGCTGTCTTAGTCATTGTCCTACTGATGTGAAGCTACGGCAACTCTTATAAAAGAAAGCATTTAACAGGGGCTTGCTTAAATTCAGAGGTTATTCTATTACCTCATGATGGGAAGCAAGGAGCATGCAAGCAAACACAGTACTGGAGAGGTAGCTCAGAGTTCTACATTCCGATCAACAGGCAGCATGAAGTGAGACACTGAACTTGGCTTGAGCATTTGAAACCCCTTGGTGACACACTTCCTCCAAGAAGGCCATTCCTACCTCAACAAGGCCATACCTCCTAGTGCCACCTTAAGCATTCAAATATATAAGCCTATGGGGGCCATTCCTATCACCCCACAACACCTGGAGTTGCATATGCTTGCTATAGGCTCCCACATTTTATGTGAGTTCTAAAGTCGGGTTCTCATGCTTGCACTGCAGGCACTTCATTGACGTATGTTTTAGTCTGTAGTCTTTGTAGTAGTCAGAAGTCTCTAGAGCAGTGGTTCTCAGCCCGTAGGTCTAAACAAATGGGTAGCATATCAGATATTTACATTATGATTCACAACAGTAGCAAAATTACAGTTATGAAGTAGCAGCAAAATAATTTTATGGTTGGGGTCACCACGACATAAAGAACTATATTAAAGGGTCATAACATTAGGAAGGTTGTGAACCACTATTAAAGGAACAGAACAGACTACATGAATGTATGTTAAGAGGGAGTTATTTACTAGACTGAGTTCCATGATATGGTTGGGGTAGTCTACCTCACACTGTAAAGACCAAACATCCAGTAGTCCAAAAGACTCAGTCCTGAGTACTTCCAGCCTGGTGTGTAGCAAGTCTTTCTCTGTCCTGCCAGACAGCTCCCAAATAACCACATGAAGACTTATTAATTATGAAAGCTTGCCTTCTTGTTGATTGCAAATTTTTCATGGTGAAAACAAGCACATACATCAGTCTGTGGCACTGTGGTCTGTATTCTGTCAATTATATTTTAAATAAATGCTGATTGGCCCATAGCTAGGCAGAAGTATAGTCAGGACAACCAGACAGGAAGTAGAAGCAGGTCAACGAGAAGAGGAGAATTCTATGAAGAGGAAAGCTTGGCCTGCAGTTGTGACCCCACCACAGAAGAAGCAAGATGTGACTGCCTAGCTGAAAAAGGGTACTAAGCCACGTGGCTAACATAGACAAGAATAATGGGCTAATATAAGTTATAAGAGTTAATAAGAAGCCTGAGCTAATGGGCCAATCAGTTTATAACTAATGTAGACCTCTGTGTGATTCCTTCGGGACTTAATGGCTGCAGGACCAGGTGGAACAGAAACCTCAGTCAACTTCAGGCTTTATTTTTCATTTTGTAATTTTTTCAGTTTTTTAAATGATAAAGTTCATGAGTGCTTACCAAACCCTCAGATCTCAAGATATAAGAGTTGGAAATGCAGAAAATATTCTAGACCAGTTGTTCTCACCCTATGAGTCATGAGTCGTTTGGGGGAATCACCTAAAACCATCAAAAAACACAGATATTTACATTTTGATTCATAACAGTAGAAAAATTACAGTTATGAAGTATCAACAAAATAATTTGATGGTGGTGCATGCCTTTAATCCCAGCACTTGGGAGGCAGAGTGAACTGTGAGTTCAAGGCCAGCCTGGTCTACAAGAGCTAGTTCTGTAGACTGTTACACAGAGAAACCCTGTCTCGAAAAACAACAAAAGAAGAAGAAGAAGAAGAAGAAGAAGAAGAAGAAGAAGAGGAGGAGGAGGAGGAGGAGGAGGAGGAGGAGGAGGAGGAGGAGGAGGAGGAGGAGGAGGAATTAAGAACTACTGTGCTAGATCCTATCTCTATCTTTTTCCATAAAAATTCTTGGGGTCCCACAATAGACCACCAAACTCACAATTGACAGAGGAGTGTAGCACAAATAATAAAAACCCAGAGACAGATATTGGGGTTCAAACTACAGATCAGAAAAGCAAAATAGCCATCCACTAGAGAGACATTTTACCTCTCTTCAGACCGAAAAAACAAGATCCTGTTTTCATGAATCCTCAGACTCCTTACTCCACTGAGTTCCTGTCTCTTCCCTTTTGTATTCCTCTCTCTGCTCAGCCCAGCCATATCACTCCTATCTCTACCTTCCTAGTGCTGGGATTAAAAATGTGTGACTCCCAAACACTGGGATTAAAGATGTGAATTACCACCACCTGGATCTGTTTCTGAATCATTCTTGTGTACCTCGTGGTAGCATTGAACTCACAGAGATCCATCTCCCTCTGTCTCCCGGGTCCTAGATTAAAGGTGTGTGCTACTATACTTCCTGGCCGGTATGGCTGACTAGCGTGGCTGCTTTGCCCTCTGATCTTCAGGCAAGCTTTATTTATTAAAACACAAATAAAAGACCACTATAGAGGAGATGCTGAAAAGCTGCACCTTGGGGTAAAAGTCTCAGGTGCCTCTTAAGGGACAAGTTCTCCAGTTTAGCCTATTCAAGCGTCAAGTGTGACTTCTCTGTGAACTAGCCAATAGTGGAGGAGTACTTACCAGCCTTCTTCTCTCTACTTCCTCCCTCTTTTTTCACTTTGCTCTGTTTCTCTGAAATCCACAAGAGGAGGAGTACCTTGATTGCTTTCTTCCCGAACAAAATGAATGAAGAAAGTAGAGCTGAAGGGTGTAACCAAAGCCACGGGATAGGAGTGGTCCCTTAGTTCCCAGGAGCAAGGCAAATTGCACTTGGAGGTTTTGAGTAGTGAACACTGATGAATGTTATGCCCAAATCCATGAGGTCTCTGCGCAAGCCAACAAGGAAACCGAGTCCCGTATGTAAAAGCAAAGTGCCTTTATTTTAATCAAGTTTGTAAACTTGGTCTCTCTGCATATCCAACATATTGGAATAACCGGAGAGCCCCAAGCTCAGTTAGAGTTGGGTTTTTATAGTAGAAAAGGTGGGGGTGAGGGGTCTCTGAGGTTTAGGGCCCCTGGTTGGCTGACATTTGTCTAGGGGTGTCCTGTTGAGGTGTGCTGGCAGGTGTCTCTATCTACAGCTCTTGGAATACCAGGCATTTCCTTTGAATGGTCTGCTCTTGGGTGGGGGTCAGGCAGTCTCAGCCTGTGGTTCCTCTTGCAGCAAGGCATTGTCTCAGGGTAAATTATTGAGACTCCAGACTCCATTTGAATTCATCGATGGCCAGAGTCCCAGGTGATAATAGTTGGAAATAAAGAACTTCCTTTGGGTAACCTGCCCAGACTTAGCTTATCATGGGTGGCCCCCACAGTGAACAAAGGGAGAGAGCAGTGCTCTGAAATCTCGAAGTGGATTTTAATGTTTCCACAAGAACAAAGCCTTGGGCTGCCATAGATGAGGATGTGGGATTGAAATCATGTCCCCAGTACAACTATGGGCCTGAAAACTCTAGGCCCAGGAAAATGAACTCTACTCACCATCCTCCCTCTTTAGAAAGAAGAAAAGAGTGTGTATTGGTGATTAGTAGAAATGGGCATGTGTGCACCACACACAGGAGCTTTATGAAACAAATTAGTCACTTTCTAGGCCACAGCAAGTACAGAAGAATCAATAGTATACAGATGAAGTTTTCCTTGTGTATACAGATGAAGTTTTCCTTGTGTTTTTTTTTTTTGAGTCAGAATTTTGCTATAAAGTCTAAATTAGCCTTGAACTTGTTACACAACCAGATTGCCCTGAGTTCTCCCCCATCCAAGTACTAACCAGGCCTGATCCCTGATCTTCTGAGGCCTGGTGCATTCAGGGGATGTCTGTGGACTAACCTTGAGCTCTCATCTTACTTGTGCAGCCTAAAGGATGCAAGTGTGTGCTACCATGCACAGCTCAGATATTCTCCTAGATAAAATATTACAGTTAGGAGAATCACTGCTCAGTATCAAAGAGACAGAAATTTCATTTGGAAACTTAAAACAAACCAAAACTGATTTCATGGAACAAAGAAATCAGTAAAAAGTGGAATGTATTTAGAATTACCAAACAGTAAAATATCAAATGCTAAACACAGGGTGGCAGTGGGGGAGAGCAGGGAGTATCTAGCTCAGTAGTAGAGTTCCCCACCACTACAAAAAGAAAACAAGACTTGTAAAATGTACTTACAGTAGAAAAACATTTATAATCGTAGTGTGTTCACTAGAAATCAAAAAAGAATGAAACTTCTAAGATGATGGAGTAGATACATGTTCCTATTTCTCAGAAAGTACAACTGGACATTGTGTAAAAGCAAAGAGAGAGGCTGAAAGGTGTTGAGAAGGAATTTAAGTCCCCTGAGAGATGAAGGGTACATTGAAGGCGTAGGTCACAAACAATGCCACACCAGTTTGGAATTATGATTAATAGGGTGGTATTTATTTAAAGTGGAAAAAACTCACAGATCACCGTCCCAGCCCTCTGCACAACCAGGAAGGGAGTCTAGTCGCCGGCGGAGCAGGAAGTGGAGAGAGCGTGGAGGGAAGTAGCCGCTTTTTGAAAGGGAGAGAGACCACGCCCCAATGGGCTGGTATCTCAGCAGCTATTGGTTGGAGGAGCAGAAGGACCTCCCGCAACAGTACATTCCATAGGTCACCTTTTTTCTCTCTATGCCAGAGTTCATACTTAAGTGGTTAGCACCACAGAAACACCAGTGGGTTCAGATTCACAAAAAATTGTTTCATTTGTATGTGTGTATGCTGTGTGTGAGGGGAGTCTCAGTGGAGTTTCTGGTGGTTGTGAGCTGCCCAGTGTGGTCCTCTGTGTTTCATGACAGCAATAGAAACCCCAACTAAAACGGTAGTACACACTTTTAATCCCAGTACTCGGGAAGTAGAGGAAGGAGGATAAGAAGTTGAAGATCAACTTCGGCTACAGAATGAGTCTGAGGACAGCCTGAGATACATGAGATCCTATCTAAAGCATTAATTTCTAAAGAAGTAAGGTCAAGTTTCACCGAGTAATCCAGGCTGACCTTGAATTTGCAATTCTTGCTTCCACCTCAGTACTTAGATTACAATGTGTGCGACCACCTCTGTCAGTAATTTTTTATGATAATACAATAGGAACAGTGGTTCTCTGAGATAAGGAGTAGTAACTTTGTTGCTGGAGAGCAATATGCTTCTGTTGCCTCTACATTTATGTGTTACAGACAAAGTGCGGAAGTGACTGAGCTAGGGACTTCTCCCTGACGCGCCTCCTTGGGTTTCAGGATAATTGTTGATGTTGCTGTGATTGCTGTCTCTACTGAGATTTAAACTGAAGTATCACACAATCCTTCTTGCCGTTGAGCTATGGACCCCCATGTCAGAACTCATTTTCTTTAACTTGGACTTTGCTTGCTGTGGCTTTGCCATCTGATGGAGTTGTTAGAAGCGTTCTCCTTTTCTTTGACTCTTCTAGTAACCGTGACTGAGGTTTTACCAAAGGAAAAGAAACAGAAGGATGAGAAGACCTTAACTCTGGGCCAAGCTGTGGTGGACCTTCTTCCTTTACTGGAAGGTCAGATGTGTAATTTATCCAAAAGTGAAAAATAACAAAATGCATAAAACCTATTTCTAAGCCGAGCAGTGGTGGCGTACGCCTTTAATCCTAGCACTCGGGAGGCAGAGGCAGGCGGATCTCTGTGAGTTCAAAAACAGCCTGGTCTACAAGAACTAGTTCCAGGACAGGCTCCAAAACCACAGAGAAACCCTGTCTCGAAAAAACAAACAAAAAAAAAATCAACCTATTTCTAACAATGTGTGCAACTCAGGTTTTTGTGGGAAATGTTGGCATGTGTCTGTGCCTGCATTAGCTCTGACTTGACCCTTTCTTTGGCTCCTCTTGACCTTATAGGAGAGGACTCCTTTGAAACGACAGTCCCGTTACACCCTGTGCAGGGGTCACCTTTAGAAACTCCTTCTCCAGGCTCTAAGGTAATCCAAGTTTTAAGTCTTAGTGTTTTCAGCTGCCTCATAATCCAGCTATTAAGGTCGAGTTCAGCTGAGTACAATGTATTGGGCACTTCCTTTCACAATACCGATAGTGCTAGTTTCTGGTAAACGGCACGCAGAAGGCTGAGTCCCACCTTTTGGATTATAACCCTTTGTGATGAACCGATGTGGCAAAGAACAGATATTGGTTACTTTGCACAGATGAGCAAGTAACTTAGGTAAGGCTTAACTATGTAAATGCTTCTTGAGCTGTGTACCAATGGGTTAAATTATGTATAACAGTATGTACTTAGGCATGGCAGACCTTCTCTGGCTGAAGACCTCTAATTCAACAGTACCAGCCAATACCTTATCCTGAATTCCAAACTGTGAGCCTTTGCAGCACGCTGAAACTCTCCTCAGTGACTCCCGGTAAACATCCGGACACACCATTCTAAACGGAACTCAGCATCTTCCCTAAATTTATCCTTTCTTAAAAAATCTTAGTGCTTTGGGATGATGACAGTACCCATCCATGAAATGACATGACATAGGACCTAAATTACGCCCATGGATCCTATCTACGGTTACTCTCCAAATCCAACCTGTTAAGAATTTTTCCTAAGGCAAGCTCTCTGCCGACACAAAAATCCCAATCAAGCCAAATCATAACAAGCCAAATTAAAAATATCCAGGTTTAATGGGATTCCTGTGCTCTCGGGTTCCCAAGGGAACCACCCAAGGGGGAACCGGGAGGCCACTAACACGACCACCGGGGAAGCAGTTTAAATAAACTGGGGAGGGGTCAAGACTTGGCGGGCACAGAGACGGGGCCTCCAAAGATGGAGACCAGAGACCAGGGCTTACACAACCTATTCTCCTTCCTAAGTTATACCCATGGATCCTAACTACAGTCAATTTCCAAATCCAACCTATTCTCCTTCTTAAGTGTCTTTAGACTTTTTGTTTTTGCGGTTTTCTGTTCCGCACTACCTCAGCTTTTGTTGGCTCCTTATGAGTAATCTTGGCACGTACTTACCTTTGGGTAGAAGACAGCACAACACACTTCTTTAGTCCCCTTACAGTAGCTTTTCTTTGAACCCAGAATTATTTTTTCTTTATGTCCTTTGCTGATCCAAGTCACAAACTCCTTTACGGCCTGTAAAATTAGGCTTTGTCATTGCTTCCTACCCCCTTCCAGCCCAGTAATTAATTACTCACTTTTTTGGTGCTTCTCAAAGACAGTATTTTGTACAGGGTTTGTCGTAACTCATAAAGCTATGATACGAATAATGAAAGGAAACATGTCTCTTTTGTTTTTTTGGTTTTTTGAGACAGGGTTTCTCTGTGTAGCTCTGGCTGTCCTGGAACTAGCTCTATAGACCAGGCTGGCCTCAAATTCATAAAGATCTGTCTACGTCAAGGTGTGTGCCACAACAGCTCGGCTGGGACTTGTCTTTTTTATTAGCATATTATTAGCAGTCAATACACATGTAAGGGGCCAGTGAGATGACTTCATGGGGAGCACACTCAGCTGTCAAGCTGAGTTCAGTCCTAGGAACCACACAGTAGAGGGAGAGAACCACTTTCCACAAGTTGTTCTCTGACCACGCCCATTCACATAAATAAAAAACACAGACACACACACACACACACACACACACAAATACTTGAAAATGCCTTTTTTTTTTCAAGACAAAGTTTCTCTGCATAGCCTGGGCTTCCCTGGAACTCACTCTGTAGAGCAGGCTGGCCTTAAACTCACAGAGATCTGCCTGCTTTTGCCTCCAGAGTGCTGAGATTAAAGGCTTGCACCACCACTGCCCAACTGAAAATACCTTATGATAAATGACTACTTTAAATGATAAGAATAACCATAAGGGAGTGGATGTGGTGATGCACACCCTTGTGTGCACCTGGGAGGCTGAGGCAGGTGAAGTTCTTGGCCAGCCAGGGCCACTCAGCGAGACCCTGTATAATAACAGCAATGGTGATGGTGATGTTGACAGCTTAGGTATAAAGCACTTACCATACAAATATGAGTACCTGGGTTTGAATTCCCATAGTCCCTGTAAAGCCAGACCTGGGCCTGTAGTCCCAGTGGAAAGTGAAGACCATGGTTGTCCTTTAGCCTCCACATGCTCACCATGGCACATATGTGCCCGAACACATACACACATCATACATGCAACACATCCCACATAATCATAAAATACAGGCTAGCAAAATACAAGCACTCCATCCCACTTCGTGAGTGCCTACTGGTTATGTTCTGTGTGGAGCCATCCAGCTCCTGTTCCATGTGTGTTTGTTGTTTGTTTTGTTGCCCCCCCTCCCGTCCCCAGATGGAGTTTCTCTGTGTACCAGCTCTGGCTATCCTGAAACTAGCTTGCTCTTGTAGACCAGGCTGGTCTTGAACTCACAGAGATTGGCTTGCTTCTGCCTCCTGAGTGCTGGGATTAAAGGTATGCACCACTTCTGCCCGGCCTGCATGTTTGTTTTTTACCTCACTGTTGTAGAATGAAAAGGACTCCAGTTCAGCAAAACTCTCCAGTTCTCCTTTTGACTCTTTCTTCAACTCCTGGTACCTGGGGAAAAAATAAATTTTAAGTCCTCTGTTTGAAAATAATTAAGTTTAATCTTGTTTTAAACAATAGTAGCAAACAATGTTAGTAAAGACTATGAAGACCTAGGGCAATTTTCCTGAGTGCTGCGTAATTTTGTTTTATAGCAGTGCAGCCTTGGTGTGAAGGTATTTGTGACAGAGCCGCTGCTGACAGCTGCCCAGGTGTCCGCGAGCAATCTCCTGAAGGTCACACTGGAGGCTGCCTACTCCGTTCCGGAGTCATTCATGCCCGTAGGGCCTCAGCAGAACTACATGGTTGGGCTGCAAGTTCCAGCAGTTGGAGAGGTAAAGCCCTGCTCCCAGATGTCTGCACGGGTTCAAGCCAGCCTACACTCAGGGCCATGTTCCTCCCCGCCAAGTCTGCACTCAAACCCACTATACCAATGGCTAAGATTTATTTTAGGCTTAAAAACTAACATTGATTTTTTTTTGTTTTACATGTATATTTTCATAACCATATGCAGTTACACAGTCTATACATTGCATGTAATTTATATTAATCACCATATAGTTATGGTCCAAAGAGTGTGCACCGTTTAAAGTTGGTGTGTTTATATGTGGATTATTTTATGGGTTGTGTGTAAGTATCTCTTTATGCACCTGCTTCCTTAATTACAGGTATTGTTTAACTCAGATTTCTAGATACAGGAACACATAAGGTTTCTGCTGGAAAGGCCCACGGTGCAGTAAATTAGTGACCTCACCCATGCTGCTGGCATGGCTTTGTGCATGCAAATTATCATAACACTCGTGCTGGGGATTGATGGGTCCAGGGACACTTGACTTTTATTTCTGAAACTGGAATAACCCAAGGTGAGTCGGATGTTTGCTTTCCTGTCTAGGAACAAGCCCATGACTGTGTGGCACATCTATGCATTGCTCTGCTCCAACTTGAGGTTTCTACTGATTTCTGGGGGTGGGCTGGTGAGATGTCTTAAAGAGTAAGGTATATTGCTGAGTAAGGTATATTTCCCTATAATGACATAGGGAAAGAAAACACCAGCTCCCAAATTTGTGCACATGCATGCACACACATATAAGTTAATGAGTAAAACACTTTTTAAAAGAATAATTTACATTTTATCTTGTTTTCTGTAATTCACAGAGTTATACATAGGCAAAGACAGAGCGAAGGGCACAGGCCCTATAGGTATCATTGGGATAATACCCAGAATTCTATGGAAAAAGTAGTAAGCAAACATTTTTTTCTTTTTTTGGTTTTGAGATAAGGTTTCTCTGTGTATCTTTGTCTGTCCTGAAATTCACTCTCTAGACCAGGCTGACTTAGAACTCACAGAGATCCGCCTGCCTCTGCCTCCAAGTGCTGGGATTAAGGCGTGCGCCACCACCACCCGGCATTAGCAGACTAACTTCCAAAGTCCTTTGCGAGTGTCCTCACATCTGGCATTACTGTTTTAGAAAGACTACCCTATGGTATTCAAGAATGGAAATCTGAAGCTTGGAGGAGAAAGAGAAGTTGTTCCCCGGCCTAAAAAATGGCCTATTGCTAACATTCTCGCTCCAGGAGCTAACAACATTCCTGATGCATTCATTGTGGGTGGTCCCTATGAGGAGGAGGAAGGAGAACTCAACCACCCTGAGGTGAGAGAGAATTTTCATGCTAAACACCATGCATTAACAGATTATAAACCCTTTGTGAAACTGAAATGTACACACACACACACACACACACACTTGGCATTTGTCAAAACTGTGAAAATCAATAACTAATTTTCTGCAAACGGAATAATTTACATCCAATTTACTCTTTCTATTGCATTTATTTCTTTTTGAGTAGATAAGTATGTTATTTGGTTGTTACTATAATGAACACAAGATAACTTATAAAGAGAAAATGTCTCTGTGGTTCACTGGAGCTTTGGCTCTGGTGTTGGACCCTATTGTCCAATCACCCAGGAGGAGTTGCCCCAAGAGACCATCTCTCTCACCACAGCTGATGTAAAAGCATGAGGATTTTATTAATTCTGTCATGACAGGGTCTTTCAGCATTAGAGAGAGAGGCCAGAAAGACCCTGAATAGCTGGTACAGGCTACTTTTAAAGGAAAAAGCCACAGAAGTAAAGGGGGTGTCTGAGGGTTGTTCTTTAACTATTATGATTGGCTTATTCAAAAGGGCTGGAGAGCGGTTGCCAGGTAAGAGGAGACATCTGAGGGTCACTCTGACCCCTTTCCCAGGGGCTGAGTCAAATCAAGTCTCCAGGAGGCCTCCCACTTGGCACATACATCAGGAACTGAGTCAACATCTTAAAGGTTATCTGGCCCAATTTCTGGAGAGCATTCACAAAGGCTCAGGGAAATGGAAAGTTCCCAACATTTCAGTATGTGTTTGTGTAATTGTTAGATTCCTGGTTCCCAGGGGAGGGGCACTGTGCTGAGAGGCCTCAGGGTTGTCAGAAATGGCTTTAGAGTTATTTTAGAGTTCTACATTACACTGTGATGGGTTGGACTCTCTGATTTGTACCTAAGGAGCCTCCATCCGGCTTCCTTTCCTAAAGGCTCCAAATCTACCAGTAGTACCACTTGTGGGGCCTTTAACACAGAGACATTCGGCTTCCAAACTATAGCAAGAATAATGCATTTCAAGATTTGAAGTTAAGACACACACAGTAAAAGTCCTTCTTCCATGTATGTGTCTCCTTCCTAATTCATTCCCATCTTGTTTCCCTAACAGTTGCTTTGTCAGGGTTTCTCCCATAATAAGCACAACCATGGGAGATTGAGAGACAGCCTGGTCCCTTCCTGGGAAAGACAGGAAGGGGGTCAGATTTCAGGACAGACTTACCAATCAAACACAAGTGCTTAAAAGAAAACAATAAAAAAGAAAGAAAAGAAAACAATAAAAGGTTCCTAGGGCTACATTTCTATTAGCTTTTCCATTTGATGATGACTCCAAAGGTAATGAAATAACATTTAGACAGCGTTGTAGCAAGATTTATAGAGAATGGTTTTTCTTCTTTTTTTCAAGACAGGGCTTCACTTTAGCCTGGCTGTGGTTGTTCATAATTTTAATCTCAGCACTCCAGCACTTGGGAGGCAGAGACAGGCAGATTTCTGTGAATTTGAGACCAGCTGGTCTGCGAGCAAATTCTAGGACAGCTAGGGCTACACAGAGAAACCCTGTTTCCAAAAAATTTTAAAAATTAAAAAAAAATTGTTGGTACTGGAGAGATAACTCAGTTGTTAAGATATATAACATAAGATCTAAATATATAAAATAAATAATAAATATAAGGGAATTATACATATTCGCTAAAATCAGAAAAATCAGATTTGATTCCCAGCACTCATGTGGATGACCACCACCATCTATAACTCCAGTTCTAGCAGACCTGATGCCCCTTCTGGTTTTTCTGACCACCAGGCACACATGATGCACAGTGAGCCATCTATATCTATAGGCAAAGCACCCATATACATCTTTTTTAAAAAAAAAAACAAAACTTTTTTTTAGGTAATCTAGACTTTGGGGAAGTATTCAATTGTATTTCCAGAACTAGAACATATCAAGAAGTTACTCCTGGTTATAGTGGAACTGGCACATACTCCCAGCACTCAGGAGGCACAGGCAGGCAGATCTCTTGAGTTTGAGGCCTGGTTTACAGAGCGAATTCAAGGACAACCAAGGGTACACAGAGAGAACCCGTCTCTAAAAAACAAACAAGAAGCCGCTCCTCTTTTTCTGTCTATTCCATGGTGTTGTTTTTGTTGCAGGACTGGATATACATCAGGAGCAGGGAAGCATGTCAGTTTGCCTCACACATTTAAGTGTGAAATGTCTTTTCATCTTTGTTCAGTGGCTGTTCACACTTCCCTGAGATTTACATTTATTTTATATATTTGGATCTTATGTTTACTGTACATAATTGTTTCTCAGCCATGGTTGTACCTGAAAATTAGCCGCAGAGGAGCCAGGTGTGACGCCACATACCTGTGATATTTGCACTCAGGAAGCAAAAGATCTTCAAGCCAGCCTAGACTGCACGTAGTAGCAAGTTCCAGGCTGGCCATTAGGCCAGCCTGGTCTACTTAGGCCCTCTCTCCAAAACCAAACCAAACTAAAATCTGTAAAGCTTTTGTTGAGCCCTCAGTTGGCCTTGACCTCATCTTCCTGCCTCACCCTCCTCAGAACTAGGAATGCAGAGGCCTGGGACGTCTCCAAACAGCCCTGGAAATCTCTTCAAAACAATGGCAGTGGTGTTTTAGTTTCGCTTCCTGTCGCTGTGGCAAAAACATTCTGACGTAAGAAACCCAGGCTCACAGAACCAGGTGACAGTCTGTCACTTCAGAGAACTGCTACTGGTCACGTCACAGCTGTATTCAAGAGCAGACAGCAAAGAACGTGCACACAGTCTGTGTCAGCTGCTCTCAGGACTCTAATAAGATTAGATAAATAAGTACACACTGCCACTCAATAGGAGATCGTTTTTTAAACTCCATGATTTTTATGTATATTCTGAATTGAGAATCTCTGACTGAGGTTCTGTGCATAAACATTTGGCACCTAGTAATGGGTTGATATAAACATGGCATTATCTCAGGAGATTTTCTCAGACCTGTAGCCACAGTAGCTGTCATGTATGAGAACACTCACAGACCACCAGAATAAACAGAAAATTCCCTCTGATTATTTCATAGGACAAGGAATTTAGGAATCAAGCAGAATGCATCAAGAAGAGGATCGTCTGGGACTTGGAGAGTCGCTGCTACCTTGACCCTTCTGCTGTTGCAAGGTGGGAACGAAAAATGCACACCTAACCAGCCAGGCTTGCAGGCTGGGTACTGTCCCTCCTCCCCCAACAAGGCAGGGTTTCTCTGGTTACCTCTGGTTGTCCTGGAACTCGCTCTGTAGACCAGGCTTGAGATCACAGAGATTCACCTGCCTCTGCCTCCTGAGTGCTGGGATTAAAGGCGTGCGCCACCACTGTCAGGCTAGTTTTGGCTTATTTAAATACAGCATAATCTGCTGAAAACTATTCTTGTGATGATTAACTCAGTCCTGTGTACACGACAAAACATGGCTAGATCTACTTGAGGAACAAAGTAAGCTTAACACAGAGCAGAGGTGACTACATTGAAACTCTTTGTAAAGTCCATGTGACACCTGCTGCAAAGATGGGATCTACAGATTTATTGAGAAAAATAGGTTTATGAGATGGATCTGGAAGAAGGTTCCAAGCTGACTTTGGCTGCTCAGATTATGCAAAGACCACCAGGCTAGAAAAAAAGTCCCTGTAGCCTTCTGGTGGAAAGAGGGTTTTGCATTCTTTTCTTTGGGGACTAGGGCAGATCTGTGAGCACCAAGACCAGAGAGCTGACCAGGAGGAGAGAGTATTGGCTGCTCTTGTAGAGGACCAGGCTTTGACTCCTAGTATCCACATGGCAGCTCATACCCATCTGTAACTCCAGTCCCAATGCCATCTTCAGACCTCTGTGGGCACCAGGAACGCATGTGGCACACATACATACATGTAGACAAAATACGCAGACACATGAAAAAAAATGTTTGCTGAAGCCCTGGCTTGCACTTCCCATTGCTGGCAGAAAGTGGGAGAAGGAAGTGTGTGTGGATTTAAAAGCGTACATGCTGCTAGTGGTGAAAGACCCCCGGAGTGGGGAGACTCTCACTCAAGTTACACAACCCCCCAGGATCTCACGAGAGACCGTCCTTTTTGCAATACACAAGGTTTATTGACAGGACAGGAACCAGTGCACTGGGGCCGAAACTCATTTCCCACGCAGGGGTAGAGTTTGACCCTGAGTAGCTGGGAGAAGGGGTATTTAAGGGAAGAAACCATAACCCAATAACCCAAAGGGGGTAGGGAGGGCGTCATTGGAAAATTCCGAAAATACTAGTGATAATTACAAGAGGGTAACTCCCTGTTTCTCAAGATTATAATCTAACTTTATGGTCAGCTAGTTCCTGGAACAGAGTCACTGAACCGGCTAACCTAGTTTTTTGGTTCTACTCTCCCTGCTAGAGGGGGTCTGGATTTATCTGTGTCTTTCGGTGGTAGACGTGCTTAGGAATCTTCTCCCTCAGAAGCACTCAGGAACCTAATAACCTGTATTTATGTCTCATGGATCATCTCTAGATAAAATTTATACTAGAAGTGCATTGTTTTAGTTAGACACATTGTCCCCAGCATGAATCAGGGTATCATTCTGGAAAGACAGGAGACCCAGATAACTTTCTCTGCCATAGAGAGCTGGTTACAGATGACAAACACAAGGCCGCCAGTGTGGCTGCAACCCCAGTTCTCAGCTCTGACTTTTAAAAACAGATTTTTTTCAGAATACTTTTACATTTATAGAAACATTGGGTAGGTATTTCACAGGTGTGCTTCTGGTTCCTACCTGGTCATGTTGTTAACATTCAGGCATTATACTGGCCTGTCCACTGCCACCCGGAAAGATGCACCTGTCTGTAATCAGCACAGGTCCAGCCAGCTCCACGGTCCCACGGCAGCACATGGCTTGTCTGTCTTCAGGCAAAGGCCTAGCCCTCCTATGGCTGATGTCACTACATCACGGCTGCCGTAAGGCTCTTTACACAGGCGCCAAGCTCAGGCAGTTCCTCATTCTCTTCTGCCTTCCTCCCCTTTCCTGGTCATCAGGCTGGACTTTCTCTTTGACTGCCCCCACCCCCATCAACGCCCACATGGTTTGTTTGTTGTATATTGTCATCCATTCTCACCCACCACTAAGCCACAACATTTGGTGCTGTTGACTTGGATGGGAACCGAGGTTGCAGTCTTTCCTCACCAGACAGGGCTCCTTTTGCTGGATAATTGTACTGACTACATGATAAGTTTTGGCTGGAGATGAGATTAGTGAACATGACAGTCATGACAGTGGGCATGACACTCAGGACAGTAGAAACTTGAGAAGCGCAGGACCCGCCACTTGTCCAGTGGTCCATGACTGGAGATGATTTGACCCCACAGACATCACTGGGTGGCTTATTCTCAGCCACCATATTTCAAATTCATATCTTTCGAATTTTGTGAAGTCCCACTTCATCACATATACATGAGGTCTGAGGAAAACTTTTTGGGATCTCTTTTCTTCCACCATGAGCGTCCCACTGAGTCACTGGCCCTTTTTAATCTTGTATTTGTATCTGGGCATTAGGTTTGGGGAAATAGGAAGTCAGGACTAGGGTTTTTAGCGTGAGGTTTGGTCTTGATCTGTTTAGGAGCTGGATATGGTGAACATTTGTCATAGCTGTGCGCCTGGTTTCTGGCTCATTTCTCCTCCCTTGTCTTCTCTGGGCTGTCCTAAGAGCCCTAGAAAGAGGGAACTCGGTTCTGCTGCTTTCTCTGCTGAAGTCTTGCTTCTCTTGAGTGCCATCGGCTGCTGCCAGGCTTCTGCTGGAGGGGTGGGAATGAGTTCTCTCTGTGTTGTAGGTTCAGGCTGTTGTTCTCAGAAGGAGTTCGGAGTCCTTTTCTCCTCCCTCTCAACCTGTTGTGAGAGACAGAGTCTGGACATTGGTGGAGTTGTCTAGCCAACTTTATTCTCGGAACACATAAGGCTCTGGTGGTGGCCCTTAAAGATAGGACCTCTCGGGCTGAAAAGAGGTTAAGAGCTGACAGCTCTTCCAGAGGTCCTGAGTTCAATTCCCAGCAACCACATGGTGGCTCACAACCATCTGTAATAAGACCTGGTGCCCTTTTGTGGCCTGAAGGAAGAATATAGGCAGAACACTGCATACATAATAAATAATAAATCTTAAAACAAACAAACAAACAGGATTTCTCTGTGCATCCCTGGCTGTCTTGGAACTCACTCTGTAGACCAGGCTGGCCCCAAACTCAAAGAGATCTGCATGCCTTTGCCACCACTGTCCAACTTATTAAAAAAAAAAAAAGGCCAAGTTTGTGCATGCCTTTAACCCCACCCAGCACTGGTGAGACAGAGATAGAACTCACTCTGTGAGTTTGAGATGAGCCTGGTATACATAGCCAGGGCTATATCATCGAGACCCTTTCTCAAAAATAAAATAACTCTGTTAGGAATTTTTCCTAACGCGAGCTCTTTGCCAACGCAAAAATCCCAAATCCAGACCAATACAACTCTCAGGCCTGGGGGCTAGGGGTTACGCTCCCAACTTAACACCCCCCCCACCCAAAACAACAACAACAACAAAAAAACCAAATAAAAATAAAAATGAATACTCAAGGATATTTCAAAACATTTGCTTCCCACCCATCCCTGAAGCTTTAAATTTCTCTTCTCTTTGGGGCCCTGCAATTAACATCCATAAGAGGCAACCCTTACATCTGGGTTCCCTAGAATGTTTTCAATTGTTAGTCTCCAGTAATTTGTCAAAATAGCTATTTAGGTTTTATCCTGGTTACTGTGCTGGCTTTGGCTGTCTACAAGAGCTAGTTCCAGGACAGGTTCCAAAGCTATAGAGAAACTCTGTCTCAAAAAAGCAAGCAAACAAAAAACAGCAACATCAAAAAGCAGAAAACTTAGAAAGTATTGGGAAGGGCATTCCAGTGACTGACATGCTGAAATTCACCTGCGTTTATTTTTCCACAGCTTTTATGCCCTACATAAATGGGGGAGGAGGGAGACAGAAGACTTTTTTAACAAGGGTACAAAGGGCAACACACAGTCCATGGCTTTATCACTGAGACATGAAATCTTTAGCATCCTGTTGTCTGAGTAGTGAAGGTGCTCCAGGTCACTATTCTGAAGACTGTCCTTAAAGAAGGAACAGAGGTGCATCTGCGCATCCTGACCACCTGTCAGGATGGCATGGACTCCTGACCACCTGTCAGGAAGGCAAGGACTCCTGACCACCTGTCAGGATAGCAAGGACTTACTACAATGAGCTATCTTAATTTCAAAAGAACCAAGCTCCAAAACTCGCAGACAAGGTGGAAGTGAGCCTGCATTTTCCAGCCTCCACATTGGGCCATAGTACTGAGACTGTTGCAAAAACCAATGCAGAATCACCTGCCTAATAAGACAGTCACTCTCCTCCCTCGCCCTCGCCTTCTCCCTCCTCCCCACCCCACACACATGCACACACACACATCCCACATGTATTTCATTACTTTCTGGATGATAGACTTTATACTTAGGACTAAGCAAGGGCTTGCTCTGCTACTGAGTCATACCCAAGCTCCTTGTCCTCATTATTTTCTACAGAAGAAGAATATTTCCTGTTAAGCCATAACAGCCAGTGTTTGCAGTGTGGTGCTGACGGGCTGGTTTTTCATTTGCAGTTTCCAGAAGCGAATCGCTGATTGCCGGCTCTGGCCTGTGGAGATCACAAGAGTGCCTTTGGTTACTGTACCTAAAGGGAAACCGGGCAAAATTGAGAAGGTAAACGTGTACCAAAGTAAAGCTGGTATGGAGGCTTCTGTCCATGACTCCCAGCAACCGGGAAACTGAGACAAGGCTCATTTGCGCTCCAGAGCTGGAGAACAGCCTAGGCAACAGAGACAGCCTTCATCTCAGTTTTCAAAATTAGAAGTGACCAATCAAATTAAATGTGTTACTCTTTGTCTAATCTGATTTTATGGAACTGTTTTTCCTAATGCAACCAATCTGTGGTTCTTTGCCTTGGACTTTCTTGGTGTGTTCCAGGAAAACCTGGATGATTGACCGCTGAAGTTCCTTGCTGCTCACAAATACTTGTTCAAGCCTTACTTTCAGATACTTATTTCCCCTTGACCCTTTGCTATGTTCTTACCAGAGGTACCATAAAAAAATAGTCATTTTTATCTAGGTCAAAATGAGTAATCCATTCAGTCTAGTAAATTTAGACTTACCTAAAGAATGTTCTAGACTCATGGATAAGCTACAGTGCTGGGAAGACATAGCTTTATGGGCATGCTTTCTGTCATTTTCCTGTATGTGTCTCGTCTTTATTCCTTGTGTGTAAATTTTGTGAGGGTGGGCTCATACTGCTTATGGCCTGCACTGAACCTAGCATGACACACAGCTTGTAACAGGCACCTAACAAACATCTAAGTTATTTGATTTGGTTTTGATAAAGGTTTTTTTGTATAACAAAAATGTTACCACCACAGTGAGCAAAAGGGAGCCTTATGGTACTACTGGTAGGAACGGAAAGTAGTCCAACCTCAATGAATTCAGTGTGGAGGTTCCTCGAAAACTAAAGATAGATCTAACATCTGTTGTAGCTGTACGGCTTCTGAGTATTTGTCCAAATGACTGCCAGCCAGCACAGAGATACTGGCACATCACTGTTCACAACAGCAGTTAGGGAGCCAACCCAGGCCCTCAACCACAGAGGAGTGGCTTTGAAAACGTGGTTTTAAATACATGATGAAATTTTTTCAGCCATAAGAATAAAGTAATGTCAGCTGGGCAGTGGTGGCTCATGCCTTTAATCCCAAAGGAACTCAGGGGAAGGGTGTGTTGAAGAGTGTGCTCAGTGCATATTCATACCCAACTAAACATGTCCTTGTGTAACACAGTGCCATCTACAAGGAATGTGTACAATGAAAACTGTTTTGTTTTGAGATAGGGTCTCCCTATATAACCCTGCCTGTCCTATAACTCACTCTGTAGACCAGGCTGGCCTCAAACTCACAGAGATCCACCTGGCTCTGTCTCTTGAGTGCTGGGAATAAAGGCGTGCGCCACCACCAGCCAACATCTTAGTGGAAATGAAGCCAGGTCCCAAGTGTCTATGTGACTGAGCCAAGACCTACAACTGGTTACTCGGCAGAGCCTGTTCGTAGAGCAGCCTCCACACTGCCTGCCTCGCTGCGCTGTGCTCTGATGCCTCTGCTCCTGTCCCCTTAGACTGATGATGAAAATCAGCTTTCGTTTCATGGCGTGGCGTACGTCAACATGGTCCCACTCTTGTATCCGGGGGTGAAGAGGATAAGGGGGGCTTTTCATGTTCATCCCTACCTGGACAGTACAGTCTTTGAAAAGGTAAGAATAAATGTAATAAAGGTGTCATCCTAATGTTTCCTCCATTTGTGTGCTGGTCACGGCTGTGCGGCTGACATCTAGAACCAGTCAGTATATGGTATTCAACACTGTGTCCTGGAAAGAGACCTCCTGGAGAAGCCTTTGTCTTTGGGTTTAATCAGCCACTTCTATAAGTCATTTTGGTGCTGAGTAAATTTAGTGTCTCCAGCTGGGTCTCCAGCCTCCCCATGCCCTGGTTGTTAACAGTGTTTGTAATAACAATTTCTCGTCTATAGCTCAGGCTGTTCTTGAACTTGCAACCTTCCTGCCTCTGTCTTCCAGGTGACAGGACATGCCAGCATACATTTTTATTTTTTGCAGTTTTAGATTCCTCTAAAATTTCAAGAGCTTGAACTTTGTCTTTTGAGATACAGTCTCACTGTGTAGTCCTGACTGTCCTGGAACTCACTCTGTAGACCATGCTGGCCTCCCAACTTACAGAGATCTGCCTGACTCTGCCTCCCAAATGCTGGAATTTAAGATGTGTGCCACCATGGCAGGCCTGAACATGGATGTTTTTTATCTTACTATTTTTACTTGGGTTGGAAAAATGACTCAGACAGTAGAGGCACTTGCAGGCAGTCTGACAACCTGAGTTTGATCCCCAGACCCCACAAGATGGCAGGGAGTCACCTTCTCTTCAGAGTTGTCTGATGACCTCCACAACATACACACATACACACAAATAAAATTTAAGAAAATTTAAATTGCCTAGCAGTGGTGGCGCACACCTTTAATCCCAGCACTTGGGAGGCAGAGGCAGGCGGATCTCTGTGAGTTCAAGGCCAGCCTGTTATACAGATCTAGTTCCAGGACAACTAGGGGCTGTTACACAGAAAACCCCTTCTCAAAAAAAAATTAATTTTATTAGTTAAAACAGTCTTTAAATTTAAATATATTTGGTCATAATCTTGTCCTCCCCCAAGTCCTTCCAGATCTTCTCCCCGTCCCTACCCACCCAACTTTGTTTTTTTTTTCTCAAAAAAACAAAAGCCCAACTATAACAATAAAACCCCCAAAACCAATAAAACAAAACAAAAAACACCCAAACAGGAAAATCAAACAAAACCACCAAACTGCTGTCAAATAAAAGTACACAAAAAACTGTGGAATCCGTTATGTTGGTCAGCTACTTCTGGACATTGAGGCCTGCCCTGGAGTGGGTGATATTCCCAGTGTCACTCCATGGGAGAAAACTAATTTTTCCTTTCCCAGCAGCTATAAATGACAGCTATAAATAACCTTTATTTACCCTTGTGGCTAGGTTGTCATTCATTCATTCATTCATTCATTCATTTTATAAAGTATAATAAGATAAAGCAAAAACTATCACATCAAAGTTGGACAGGACAGACCAACAGAAGGAAAAGAGCCCAATAGAGCCCACAAGAATCAGAAACCCACTAGTCCACACACTCAAGAATCCCATTAAAACACTAAGCTGGAAGCCATGATCTGGTGCAGACTGGTGCAGGCCTTCTCTATATGTGCTGTGGGTGTTGGCTTGGGGTTTTTGTGGGAGCAGCATACGCCTGACTCTTTTGCCTGCCCTTGGGACTCTTTTCCTCCTATTGGGTTGCCTTGTCCAGTCTCAATATGAGGGCTTTTGCCTTGTTTAATTGTATCTTGTTTTGTCCTGTTTGGCTGTTGTTTCTTGGAGGCCTGCTCTTTTCTTCTTTTAAAAAAATTTTTTATTGATATTTATTGAGCTCTACATTTTTCTCTGCTCCCCTTCCTGCCTCTCCCCTCCCCACTTCAGCCCTCCCCCAAGCTCCCCATGAGGCCTGCTCTTTTCTAAAGAGGAAATGGAGAGGGAGTGGATCAAGGAGAGGGAGGAAGTGTGTGGTGGGGGCAGTGGTAGGTCTGGAGTGAAGGGAAACTGTGGTAGGGATGTATTGTATGAGAAAAAACACCTGTCTTTACAATGATTACATAATACATTGTTAAACTTTTCAGAAGTTACTTTCCCCTAGAAAACATGACAAACTTAACTGTGGTTTGAACCATACCAAGGTTTTATTGTGAACTTTAAACTTGCCTCATTCTTTCAATTATAAATTAATTAGTGAATAGTAATTAGACAAATACTGTCTCTTCTATATAAATGAGTTATTTACTGAAGTAATTCAGAATCATGTGTCAAAGATTAAAATTTTTCTGATAACAAGAATTATGATTCCAGGGACTGGAGAGATGGCTCAGAGGTTAAGAGCACTGGTTGCTATTCCACAGGTCCTAAGTTTAATTCCCAGCAACCACAATGGTGTAGGAGGTCCTTCTGTCTTTGTGTTGCTTTCATTGGTTAATAAAGAAACTGCTTTGGGCCCTTGATAAGGCAGAAGTTAGGTAGGTGGAGAAAATTAAATGGAATTCTGGGAGGAAGAAAGCAGAGTCAGAGAGAAACGCCGTGGACACACCAGAGACAGACATGCTGATACGTGGCGATATACAGATTAATAGAAACGGGTTAAATCAGGATGTGAGAGTTAGCTAGAACTAATGGTCCAAACAGTGATTTAATTAGTACAATTTCTGTGTGGTTATTTTAGGGTTAAGTTAGCCTGGATGAACAAGCAGCAGGTCCTACTCCAACACCACATGGTGGCTCTGTAATGACATCTGGTGCCCTCTTCTGGCCTGCAGCGACACATGCAGGCAGAACTGTCTATCAACACCAAGTACAGCTCTGAGGTCTCCTCCTACCACTTTAAATAGTAGGGAAGCCACTGATTTTCTGTGGTTTTCTGTGTTCTACAAGTGAGGGATGTAATGAGGTTCTTCGGGTCTCTGTTCTGGATGCTGAAATGGTCTGGAGAAAATGACCCCTTTGGGTGGCCCCTTTACCTATGACTTGTTTTTGTTCCTTTCCTTCCTTTCAGACCAAATGTTTGTTCAGCATATTCAGGGACACTGGGCACCATCTGGCTCACAATAATAAAGCAGGGGGTCTTAACTCCCCACTGTCGAAACCTGTTTCCAAGAATCTGAAAGAAGAGAAAGCCGTGAAAGACAAGGAGATAGAAGGACGGGCTCGGCCTGGGGACTTGGTAGGCTCTTAGACTTTAAGTGGACGCTTGTATTAACTTCCCATTTGGTGTATTGTATTGATGTGTTTTGCATTTTAATGTCCCTACTGCTATGAAGACCATGAAAGAGTCCAAGTTTTGATGTTTCTTTTTGTTTCAGCAAGCACCTAGCATAAAATCTCAGAGTTCAGATACTCCTCTGGAAGGCGAGACCCCTCTGAGCCACAATCTAGAAGGACAGGTAAGTGTACTCAGAATTTTAGCAATAAAATTTCACTTCACTTCACCAGACCTTCACTGAGCACAACAGCTTTAAAGGAAAATGTGGAAGGTGGGACATGAGTCACCTCTAGTTGCCTAGGACCCTGGGCAAGTTTGTTCACTGAGACCTTAAAGTAAGTTGGTACTGGATTGTGTTTAAGGTCTTTTCCAAAATTAAGTTTTATGTTTCATTAAGTCTACATGGAACACCAGGAGTCCGTCTGCCCTCAAGACCCCCTGCTCTCCTGCCCCGATTGATCTTCTTAGCTGTGACTCAGAATGTCGGTGGGTGCTGTAACAGGAACAGTAGTGAAAGAAAGTTCTTGCTAGACTCAGAGGAGACGATGTTAGGATGGAATAGCCCCAGGTAAATCATTACAGAAAAGGTGAACCCAAACACAGTGATGACAGAGAGAGGCATTCCATGGTCAGAGAACAGCTTGAGTGATGACACAGAGAAAAATTATATCAACGAATCCAGGGTATGATATAAGGGGATGAAAAGAGCAGCAGTTCTCAACCTGTGGGTCTTGACCCCCAAAGACCATCGGAAAACATAGATATTTGCAGTATGATTCATAACAGTAACAAAATTACAGTTGTGGGGTAGCAGTGAAAATAATTGTATGGTTGGGGGTCCCCACAACCTGAGGAACTGTGTTAAAGGGCAGCAGCGTTAGGAAGGTTGAGAACCGCCGTAGAGAGGAGTGGAGGTAGGGAGAGACAGAGTCTGGAGAACCCGAGTGGCTTGCCGTGCTGCTTAGCTTCATTCTGCAGGGGACTCGTGAGCTCCGTCTTGCCTCTTTCTGAGCTGGGCATTGGATACAGGACCTAAAGAGAGCTCAGTAAGCCCTCTGCTTTATCTGTGCCAAAGGGTTGACTCACAGACATTAGGATTGTGAAGGATGGTGAATTAGAAAGTGTGTTGCCAGCCAGACTATTACTTTTACTACTGCTGCTTCTGCTGCTGCTACTTCTTTCTCTTCCATCTCCTCCTCCTCCTCCTCTTCCTCCTCCTTTTCTCTGGTTTTTCAAGAGAGAGTTTCTCCGCATAGCCCTGGCTGTCCTGAAACTCATTCTGTAGACCAGGCTGGTCTTAAACTCACAGAGATCCGCCTGCCTCTGCCTCCTGAGTGCTGGAATTAAAGGCGCACCCCAGACTTCTTGTCCAGGTTTCATACAGAAGGTGGGGTGGGGGCGTGTGGGTCTTTTACCGTACACTTGTGCACTGATGACAGTTGGATTTGGGAAAGGAGTCAAAGCAAAGGAAGTCAGTGGCCTAAGGGGCCAGGTTTTGGGCTTGGGAAATTTGTGGGGACAGGGAGATTGATGAAGAAAAGTTAAAGGCAGCTCAGGTTTCAGGTGTTGCTTTGTAGAAGGTTGCCATCATTAAGAGAAGCTTCAAAGAGAAACATGGATACATCAGAGAGCTGTGTTTAGGATGCTGGCAAAAATAAGTCTGGGTAGATGCATTCAGCAGTCAGAGTTGTGGGTGGTTAAGACTAGGAAGATATAAGGAGTTGAAGACAAAGCTTAAACACAAGAGGGCTACTGGAAGAAAGAGTGGCACGCATTTAAAAGAGTTCCAGACAGAGCCGGGGGTGGTGGCACACGCCTTTAATCCCAGCACTTGGGAGGCAGAGGCAGGCGGATCTCTGTGAGTTCAAGGCCAGCCTGGTCTACAGAGTAGTTCTGGAATAGGCACCAAAGCTACACAGAGAAACCCTGTCTCAAAAAACAGAGAGAGAGAGAGAGAGAGAGAGAGAGAGAGAGAGAGAGAGAGAGAGAGAGAGAGAGAAAGGTTAAAAATTTTAAAAGGTTCAGTAGGATCCACTGGAGTGAAAATTTCCAAGAAAAGACAAGAAAACACTTTCTTCCATGAGCTAACCCCTATTGCTACATTCCTGTCAAATTATTATCCCCTGTAAAACATTAGAGCCATGGACACTGCACTTCATATGCAGTTCATTAAGTAGTTCCTGATATTACTAAGAGTGATTCATTACTGTCTATTTATGAGATTTACCAATAACAATGTCTTTGCAGCAATATTTGGAAGCGGGGACATACATTGTCCTGGAGATTCAGCTGGACAAAGCCTTGGTTCCAAAGCGGATGCCAGAAGAACTGGCCAGAAGGTTGGGGCACTTACGCGTTTGGCAGTTTAGGAGTGAAGAAGTTTGTCCCAACAAATGTATTTCCCTTGTCCTAAGCAACAGTGTTTTTGGTTTTTGTTTTTTACAGATAGAGTTTATTCTACTATTGTTTCCTCATTGCAAAGCGTCATTAAATTTTTTTAGTTGACATGAGCAAGAAAATATGAAACACTCAGATTCCTACTGTTTTGTTGCAGTATTTTCCCATCTTGGATCTTTCTGGGAGTTGCTTTAAAGCCTTGATCTACAAACACATGCACATGTAGTGCATGTACATTAATTCTCGAAAACTGTTTTTACCCTCTATTATCACGCTTTGTTTATGCGTTATTATATTATGTATATTATATATAAAATATGTTACTATTTTTTCTTTGTTTGTTTGTTTGTTTTTTTTTTTTTGAGAAAGGGTTTCTCTATGTAGCCCTAGCTGTCCTGGAACTTGATTTGTAGACCAACCAGACTGGCCTTGAATTCACAGAGCTCTGCAGAGTCCACGAGTCTGGGCGAGATTCAAAGTGGGGTGAACACGCACACGCACTGATACAGGACAGGTTAGATGCCACTGCAGTGGTTCTGACCAACAGCAAGCCGCCTGCTCTGCTCCCACCATATGCCTCGCTCTGCCATGAGAGTGAGAGGGAGAGACCCTTCCCTCAGTTTCCCAGGGGCAGACAAGACCACGCCCACTGCTCCACTCCTCCAAGTCAGAAACCTGCCTGCCTCTGCCTCCTGAATGCTGTTCTTTCTTTTTTAAAAAAGATTTATATTTTATTATGTATATAGTATTCTGCCTGCATGTGCCCCCTGCAGGCCAGAAGATGGCACCGGATCTTATTACAGATGGTTGTGAGCCATCATCTGGGTGCTGGGAATTGAACTCAGGCCCTCT